AAGTGGAAGTTCAATTAAAGAAGACGGTGAGAAACATCAGAAGTGACAATGGGCTGGAATTCAAAAACAAGGATTTCGAAGACTTTCTGGCCGATAAGGGGATCACACACAACTTTTCGGCTCCTTATACTCCACAGCAAAACGGAATCGTTGAAAGACGAAACCGATCGTTGTGTGAAGCAGCTAGGACCATACTCAGTTATGCCTCTCTACCTCTATACTTTTGGGCTGATGCCATTGCTGCGGCCTGTTATACTCAGAATCAGTCCCTCCTCAACAAGCGATTCTCATTAACTCCTTATGAGATTTTAAACAATCGGGAACCAAACGTCAAGCTTTTCCAAATATTCGGTTTCAGGTGCTTTATCCTTAACTCTAAAGAAAACTGAAATAAGTTTGACGTTAAAGCCGATGAGGGGATCTTTCTGGGTTATTCTCTGTCATCAAAAGCATACCGAGTATTGAACAAGCGTTCCAAAAGAATAGAAGAGACTTACTATGTCACCTCTGACGACAATTACATGAAGAAGGTTCAACGGACAAAAGATGCCTCTGGAGACATCTTTCCAGCATCTGGACAGGTATCGGTTCCAATATCAAATCTGTTTGATTAATACATTCGGTTGTTCGATGAACCGGAAAAGGCAATCCATTCGGAGGTAACAGCAGCAGACAACAAGGTAGATAATCTGAAGAAAGTTATAGACGAAGCTGCTAAATCATTGGAAACCGAAACACCTACTCCTAAACCATCACCTAGTACTTCAAACTCCGATTCAACGTTCCAGGGGGAGAATTACCATTCCGCCACATCTAATACTCAAACAACTGAACCAAAATTAACAAGCGAAACTCCAATCGAGGGGGAGACCCCTACTGCTGATTCTGTTGAAGACATAGGCTACACTTCGCCAGTCGAGGGGGAGAAGGTAAGAACAAGTGATTGTTCAACTAACGAAGGTGAAAGGGATAAGTCAGATGTTGAAATTGAAGTTGAAGCAGAATTAAATCCAGAATATGATCCAAGCTATCCTCCGCTAGTAAAATGGACAAAAGACCATCCCAAAGAGCAAATTATTGGTGAATCGTCTAAAAGTGTTCTTACTAGATCTCAACTGAAGGCAAAACAAACAACATTATTCTCCAAAGTGGAATTTTGTATGTTTAACTCTTTTATCTCCAAAATAGAGCCGAAAACAGTAAATGCTGCAATCGATCATTCTGATTAGGTTCAAGCAATGCATGATGAGCTCAATGAATTTGAAAGAAACAGAGTTTGGAGATTGATTTCTACACCGAAAGATGCCTCTGTTGTTGGCTTGAAATGGGTATTTAGAAATAAGTTGGATAAAGAAGGAAATGTCATTTGTAACAAGGCTCGGTTGGTTGTAAAAGGCTACTGTCAAGAAGAATGGATTGATTATGAAGAAACGTTTGCTCCTGTGGCACGGTTAGAGTCTGTTCGAATTTTCCTAGCATATGCCGCTCACAAGAACTTCGAAGTTTTCCTAATGGATGTCAAATGTGCATTCTTGAATGGAGAATTAGAAGAAACTGTCTTTGTTGAGCAACACCCGGTCTTTGGTATGTTTGCTTCCAATACCTTAAGTTGATGGTAACTAGACCTCAGAACAATTTTTGAGTAGTAGTACACCCTTGCAGTTGATCAAACAAATCATCAATTAGAGGGAGTGGGTATCCGTTCTTTATTGACAAATTATTTAGTTCTCGGTAATCGATGCACATTCGGAAGGATCCATCCTTGTTCTTGACGAACAGGACTGGGCTCCCTAAGGTGAGAAACTTGGTCTTATGAAACCTTTGTTCAGAAGTTCCTGCAATTGGCTTGAAAGTTCTTGCATCTCGGACGGAGCCAATCTGTAAGGTGACTTAGCTATTGGTGTGTCACCTAGGATTAGGTCAATCCTAAATTCGACTTGTCGGTTCGGGGGTAATCCAGGTAGATCCTCGGGAAAAACATAGGGGAAATCACATACCTGGGGTATGTCCTTTAATTCTTTTGTTTTTCTTTTCTTATCCACTATGTGAGCTAGAAAGGTGTAACATTTCTTATGTAGGCATTTTTGAGCCTTTGTGTCGGAGATGAGCTGAAGATTTTCGCCCGCTTTATCCCCATAAATGGTTAGGATCTCTCTGTTGGGTAGGGTTAATCATACAAACTTTCATAGCACAAGATCTCGACATAGTGAGGAGCAAGCCAATCCATTCCTATGATAACATCGAAACTTCCTATAGGAATATATATGAGATCTATATGGAAAGTGTGGTTATTTAGGGTTAACAAGCAATCTCTTAGGATTTTGGTAATGCTCTCTATCTGACCGTTCGCCACCTCTACTTCACACGCTAGTTCTAATTTACTAGACTTGTGATTTAAAAGTTGTTGGAAAGATGGGGTTATAAAACTTTTATTGACACCGGAGTCAAAAAGTATTGTTGCATACAAGGTATTAATAAGGAACGTACCAGTGACCACATGTGGATCCTGAATAGCATCCTTGTTTCCTATCACAAATGATCTCCCTCAGTCGTTCCCACCTTTATACTTCCTTTTTGGGCAGACTTGTGCAATGTGACCTTTCTCTTTACACTCATAACATGTTATTTTTCCCCCATTGCTGGCTTTGATTACGAAATTTCGATTTCCTCTTTTGCTTGGAAGGTTCCTACATAAATTTGCAGTATGGCCCTTCCTATTACACCGGGTGTAATTTAATGTGGTTTCTATTGTGGACATTACACTTTGGGTATTTTTTTTGTGTAGTTCCTTTGTGGTTTCGGTATTGTTGTTACTGCTGGAGTTGTTGCATAGACCTTCTTGGTTTCTTGCTTCTTGGGTGGAATGGTCTTTACTCCAGAAAATTTCCTTTTCTTGTTTGGTTCAGACTTAGGGGTTTCAATTATGGCCTCTATGTTTCCCTGACTGACCTTACTGTTAGTTAGTCGCTTAGCCATATTCTTGGTTCTCTCAAAGCTTATAGGTCTTGAAGACATGACCATACCCTTGATCTTTGGGCGATAGACCCCAAACATAGTGTTCCACTTTCACATGTTTAGGGGTTACTAGAGTTGGACACAACAAGGAAGGATCGTTAAACCAGGTTGTGTAGGCTTTAATGTCTGAACCTTTCATCTTAAGGTTCCACAACTCGTTTTCCTGATTCTGAACTTCGTCACTGGGATAATACTCTTCTATCAACATGGTTTTTAGTTCATTCCAGGTCAAAGAGTTTGCAGGGATAATTCCCATCGACTTAACCTGTGTATTCCACCAAGTCAATGCCACATCCTTAAAAATACAGGCAACAAATCGCACCTTGCTATCTTCAGTGTAGTAACTGATGTTGAAATACATACTCTATCCTTTCAAACCACCGGGTGAGACCGACCACACCTTCGTTCCTATATAAGTACCTAGGTTTGCAGTTCATGAAGTCTTTATAAATGCAGACCCTTAGAGTTTCATTAATGTTAATGTTTGAACTGCTTCCAGCTCCAGTCTTGCGTCCTTTAACTTCTATGATGGGCGCGCTTTCATTCGTGCTCCTTACGTTTTCCATAGCAATTGTCAGACGATGGGAGATTAGTTACACTAGCTCTGCTTCCATTTTAGGGAGTACCTTATTAGGGGGTGGTGCAACAACAATTGGTGTATCCACAACCGGAATCACCGTTGGCATTGAGCTGCGTCAGCCTCTCCTAGGCCGAGATGTCATGGGTGGAATTGTTGGTTTCAACCTTTCAGATTGGGATCACTTTTTCATTCGTTCACTCTTCTTTCTTAGTGGCATGTTGGAGATCTATTTGATAATTTCCAATCGTAAGTGTTTTATCGACCATGTTTTCAATTATTTTTAATGTTTTGCAATTATTTCCGAGTGAAATCAACCAATCGACACAACAATCATCACATAACAGCACATAATACTACTAATATATGCTTCACATATTTCACATAATCATTTCAAAGTTTTAAATTCGTTTGCATTACAATAAAATTACCACGTGCTAAGGATGATAATTTAACATGTTTACAATAAACCAACCACATCAAAATTTGCAAGACTACAACAAGTTCCCACATTCCCTTCCCCTTACATCACAATTTATATTATCCGAGGGTCACTAGCAACCCTTATCATATTACATATCTGAAATTTTATACCAAAATTGGAAATCACCCATGACTTGCGTAAAAGCCTTCACTAACCAACCTTCAATTCATCCTAAACTATCCCAATCCAAAGTTGTGAGATAGCGTATCCAAGATCTTTTGGATCTGTTCCTCTACTCCCCCCATTCACTCTGCCACTCCTCTAGTGCCAACATCTACCTCGACGTCCCTCTGCAAAGCCTCCCGAATCTGTCCCTTAGTCTCTAGCATGCATATCTCCTCTGTGACCATAAAGTCGTACATAAACTGAGTCCTACTCCGATCTTTCTTCATGTCCTCCTGATCTCGTCCCCTCTAAACTCTCATCTCCTCTATCTGTCTGGCATGTAGAGCATCGTTAGCTCCCAAAGTATGTATCCCACCACCCATGGACTCGACTTTGTAGCCAAGTTGTAGGGTGCGGTCAAACAAGTACGACAACCTATCCTCGTTAGTAGCGGCTGGGGGTTTTGCCCCCGAGCATTACCCTAATTCGAACCGATGGGTTCATCCCTGGTCTCGAACCCATTTATTCACAAAGTCGGTTATCCAGGCAGGATCATCCATCCTTTTATCCTGAGTCACACTAGAGGCTTTAGGCATAGGGTTTAGTGCAGGATCGATAGGGGATACGTGGTATGGTGAAAGTTCCTCGTGAGACTCTGAAGACCGTGAACTCGCATCCTAGGCTTCTTCTTCTTCTTCTTCACACCTTCATACATAGGGAGAATCTTCTACACGTACCTCCGATTACGACGTATACCAGAGCCTAGGTAGTAAGAGGTAGGAGTTGGCGATGCAAAAAGTTCTTGTTCCTCTATAGGGGTTACTTTTCTTCTTTGGCCTCCTGTCCAATCTCCTCTGGATCCTCGTTAGGATCCTCCTCAGGCTCCTGCTCCATATCTTCCGGATCCTCCTCTGGCTCTTTATCCTCAATCAGTATCGGCATTCCAACAGCCGGTGGATCAGGGAAGTAGATATCTCCTGGTAGGTGGTTAGGTGAGTCTACCTCTTGATCGTTCTCATCCCACTGTTGGTGATTTTCCTATAAATAAATTTAATTATCATTAGTATTTATTTGTTCATAGTTTTACACAGTTTTAATAATATTCTCAATTTTCGAATCGTTTAAACAGATTAACTAATTCACTTAGTTTCAATAGTGCGTAGAATCTTACCATAATAAAATTTAGGGGCACAACTAGGTTTAGTAGTGGTATAAACTATGTACTAGAGAACCTAATTGATTATTTGAATTTTTAAAAACTTGTTTACTTGAATTTCTTCAAAATTTTAATATATTTATAATTTGTGCATGTCACTTTTAATGATTATATTTCTTTAAGTTTTTGATGTTATACTATCACATGTATTTATAGGAACAATTTTTGATCATAGGATCGTTGTCCTAAGGGGGAAACCTACGAGTACTGAAAATTAGACTTATAGGGGTAAGTTTATTAGCGATATGATATAGGTCTTAGGAATACTTCAACCCATTAGAGTAGGCTCGTAGACTATAGTTGTTCTTTTTGAAGGAAAATACTAATTCGTTATAGTCGTTATCTTTGATACCAATCTGTTGCACCCCGAATAACGACGAAAACGCCGGGGTTAAGACTAAACATTTGGATCATAGTCAACAACACATATTGAAATAATAATAGAATTTATACGACTATACATTCTTTCGAAATCTGAATATGACGAAATACACTGTTTAATAAATCCAAAAGCGATAAACATGGAATGCAACTTCCTGCAAGATAATAACAGAACAAAAGGCTACAATAGAGCCGACTATTTATTCCCAACGTCAATCCTTCATTCTCACATTAGGTGAGAGTTCTTTCGGTCACTTTGAACACCTAGAGATACATATACTTTGAAAATACATCAACAATAATGTTCGTGAGATTTATAGGTTTTCTTTTGACTCTAAGAGTTTTAATAATTCAAAATATTTTTCAATGACCGGCAAATTTATAACACATATTATTACTACACAAATAATTTTAACGACAAGGATTAGTTATTTTCATGAAATTTTTTATTATTTGGACCGTGTTCGCTTGTGGAGAGTTATGTCGTAAAGAGAGGAAGTTAACAACCTAAACAATCTTACACATTTGACCCAAATTGGGAGAATTTACTCAACCTAGACCTATACTTCTTTGAATATAAATCTTCATTCTAACAATTAGCCTATAACTGAGACTATATGCATTCCACAAGCCACACATGCACAAAAACAGAGGGATCGAGATCATAACTTGACGCATGTTGCCTCGTCAGACGAAGTTGTAGCTAGCAACCACAGACGGTGAAAAACACCAACCCGCATAAATCATTCCTTATGAAATTGATCTACACCAACGTTTTTTTATTATAAATTTGTGTTGTGTACATAGACCTAGAGTATAAGACCCCTCGTGGATTATCGGTTATAGAGCTAGGTTTCAATTCTAGGATTTTGATCCTAATGAAAGAAAAACACCCCATCATAAAACTCCCTCTTTCACCCCCTATCGGTAATTCCTTACACGAGATACATATCCATAAATTCCATGACAATAATTATTCGACCCATGAATTCGTCGCTTTCGATGGTCACCAACGCGACTCTTAAATTATTAAGATTTTTAAAGCTTAGTGAATTTAGTAAAATACTAAATTTAACTTAGCATTCAAATAATGTAACAGTAATCAGCCGAGTAGTTTCATACTATACTTCGATAGGAAGGACATTTCGTTCGCGTAGTCGAATAACTCATATATGTTGGTATTACGTCGGTTCACCGATTATCGCCTAAATCCATTGTTATTGTATTTTTTTTTTTTTACTTAATGTTGAAAATATATTGTTTTCGTGTGTAAGTAAAATTAGTCTTAAAAATACATACACATTATTTATCGACGAGATTTTGTATTATACTGTAGTGTGTGTGTGTGTGTGTATATATATATATATATATATATATATATATATATGTATATATATACATGAATTTATAATTCGTTTGTATATTTTTATTTTATCTTTTCGTTTAATTCTTTCATATTAGAACTGTTTGACAAATAAGCTTAATGCCCTAATATACACATGTCATGTGATTATACATATCATATTAACGAAGTTGACAAGATGTTGGTAATAAAATGTTCAACTATAAAAAAAATTATGACATAAGTTCTTAAGGATACTTTTATTCATTCGTACAAGTATTATGACATTACTTTCATTAGCTTATTCTTATCTAACATTTTTATTTCCACAAGCATTTATAAAGATGTCAAACTTTTTATAAAAACTCTTTTGCAAATACTAATCTCAATATTCTTAACAAACTTTATTTGTAAAAATAGTATTTGTAGCATATATAACTATTAAAAATCTTAGTATGTGAAAACAACTTTGCATGCATGTAAAATGTGAATATTTTAGTCATCAATTTATATCACAACACTTGGTATATATCCCCCCCCCCCCCCGCCCCCAAACAATAAAAATAAAAAGGGACCATAAAGACTCACATTGAGCGTGTGGTTTTCCAGTTTAGATAAAAGTTTCAATGAGGTTCTTGCTTCGTTTAAGACCCGATTGCTTCACCAAAAAGCGAACAAATCTTATTTAGTGTGTTGGACCACACAAAGATGCACAAAACAGCAAGATTTTTTGTTTTCAAGATGGAAGAAAACTCACCAAAACAGCCACAGTGGCTGTCGACGGAATGGGGGTGGCCGGAGGTTCTTCTGGCATCTTTCTCGCCACTTTTCTTCCTGTTTCAATGGCTATTGTTGAGGGAAAGCGATGACAGAAAAAGTAGATCATAGAGAGGGTGTTTGGCTGTCTCGAAAATGACTAAACAAGGAAGGAGTTTGGAGAGGTTGCTGCCTCTCCTCTCGCCGAAAAACAGCCAGCAAATGCCTCCGGTGGAGGTGTTCTTGGTTATCTCGAAACTAAGATAGAAAAAGGTAGAGATAAAAGATTTTTTGGTGGGTGTTTTGTTGCTGCCATTTTGAGCCTTAGTAATACTTTTTATAGCTTCAAACCTTTTCCTCTACTAGTGGGTGTGCCTTAGTGTATCTTTAGAAGTTATAGCCTTAGACTTATAATCATTTTTGTACCCTTAATGTAGAATTTTTTAAGTGTTAGAAGAAAGAAAAGAAGAAGAAAACATGGGGGTTTGGTTAGGGTGTACAAGCTCCCTTTACCTTGTACCTTAAACTGATGCTTGGAAGCAACATTCTTAAATGAGTGTACTTGGACTCATAATGGAAAGATAAGATTTGGTGGTTGGAAGTCTTAAACACATAAGTAGCAGAAGAATGGACTCATTGTTGGATTAATGTCTAAGTCCATAACTATAATTGGTAAGACTTGACCCGACCCGGCATGGTCCATTTGGGTTGCATGGCATCATGCACTTGGATAGACTATAATGAGAGAAACAAGACACTTATGGTTATTAATATATTATAAGTTCTAGTATATTAATAATAAGAATAATAAGATTATTTAATTAGTATTGATCAAGAATTAATCTAGGATTAATTAAGTGATCAAAAGAAGACTAATTAAATATATGGGTTGATTGTGTAAATCATCCATACTTATATAGTGGGCTAATGCTCCATGGATTATCTAGTTGGGCCAAAACCCATATGATGCTCCATGGATGCTCCATGGTGTATTTGAACCCATGGATCCAAGGAAATGGAAAGTCATGACAATTAGGGTTTACCCTAATTGTAACACTATATAAAGATATTATTCTTCCCAAAATCGGTCACTAGATTATTCTAGAGAGGGCTAACCGATTTCATGAAGTGTTCTAGTTTCTCTCAAGTTATTCCAAGTGTATTTGATGTTGTGTGAACCATTTGAGGTGTCACACTTGGGGCACTAGGCACTCAAGCTTCATGAAGACATTCTACATCAAAGAGGTATGTATTCTATCTTGTTATATTGATAGTTTTGTATGCTAGATTAGGATAATACCTTGGATGTTCATATTTGCATGTATAATAGAGAAAACATAGATCCAAGGTATTTAGGGTTGCATGTACACTTAGGAGTGTTAGAATGCTCATAACCCAACAGTGGTATCAGAGCCTAGGCTTGTTTTCTTGTTATACCTGCAATAGAAGCTGAAAAATCGAGTTTTGATGCTGTCAGCCCAGCTGACTCGCCGAGTCCATGAAGGGACTCGACGAGTCCAAGGCAAAATGCATCCAACTCGCCGAGTTGTGTTCATGCACTCGACGAGTTGGACCCCAGACAGCATATCTTCGAGGTTTTTGGCTAGAAATGGACTAGGAACATTACCCTAAGTTGTTTTGAACTTATAAACTTGTTTTTAAATGTGGTAATGTTCATGCTAATCCATTTTCAAGATAATTGTCAATAGATTCATGTTTTGTATTAGTTTAAAGGTTAGACTAATTACATGAAAAAGTTTGATTTGAATTATATTGTTCTTATGAGTTGCTTAGATTAATAGAAAAGTTGAGTGAAAAAGTTGTTTTCAATCCAAATTAATCTAAGAGTTGAGTATAAAATGTGTTTGTGTAACTTATCCTTAAGTTACATGAAGAGTCACATTAAAGACTCATAAAACTCATAAAGTTGGCAAAGGTTACAAAAAAAGATGAAGAGTCTTGTCCTTAAGTTATGGAGGTTCAAGAGTCACTTCATTAATAAATAAATAAATAAAATATGTAACCTTAATTAATTCCATAAGTTATAAAATAAAGAAAAAGATTAATTCTTTATTAGTTTAAAGTCTTCCATAATTTGTCCACAAGTTATGGAACTTGAAGAGTTTTTGGATTAAAACTACTTTAAATACATAAGTTATGGAATTAATTAGTTTTGAATAGTTTCAAAACTTGCCCTCAAGTTTTGGAATTTGTAAAGTTTTCTCTTATGAATACTTTAATTCCAAGTTAGCCCTTAGAATTTTAAAAGTTAAAATTCAACCCTTATACTTTATAATATTATAAGTTAATAATATTTATATGTATAAGAGTAAAGTCGGTCTTACCGCTAGTACGCCTCATTCACGAAGCCGGTCTATAAGGTGGGTATAAGGTTGTTGCCTATAAAATGGCAACTTAATGGGTGTTCACTCTCACCCACCGCTCGCTTGACTGGTGGAGGGTCGTTAGCCGAACGGGTTTGACATGACTATAATTCTCCCTTCATTAAAAGTATTAATGATAAATATTAAGTAACTAAACTTTTAATAATACCCAATCTTAGTTACTTAGAAAAATGTGAATAAGGTGCTAATCCATGAAATTACACTTTGCACTTTGTTTAAGTCGGTTAGTGGAGCGTGTGTGGTTAACCGGCACACTAACTCGTATTTAACAAGGTAGGCAAAGGGTAACTTAATGTTTATCATAGTATCGATGGAGCGTGTGTGGTTAACCGGCACATCGATTGAGGGGTAAACACTTAAGGGTACCCAGTAATTTGCATGGTTACTTCACACCTTGTTTTGTGATCCTCGGCATCCCAGTCACAAAACCTGAAGGGCATACTCGAGATTGAAACATGCCATTGAACAGTTCAATGAATCTCAAAAGATCTAGGAGTTTCAAATCCAATTAAAACCTAATAATACATTTCGTTTATCTTGGTGGAAATTGGTGAATCGTCATTCACCTACCTTCAAATTGTTTTATAGCTTGGATTACGGCATACCTCTTCTAAGTTATAAAATAGTTTGTTGGGTCCTAGCCTTAATATTTTCATATTGGGTGTCATATTAAGGACTCAAAGATCAACTATCTTGAATATCTCCCATAACATGTCTGGATTAGACATTTATGATCTTCCCAAATCTCTTGAAACAAGCTTTCCTAAATGAATGGATATCATACTTCTCTCTCCTCTTCCAATTATTCTCCCTAACCCACAAGTTCTTGAAAAATTTAAGGTCACTCGAACCCTATTGGCAAGACAAGGTCTAGGTGTGATCACATCTTGGAGATGTATTCACATATTGACAAGCCGGGAGAGCTGGGTGTCAATGTCTTGAGAAAGTTGGTGGTTCAATCACTTTCTAAGTTACATAGTGAGTTCCTTTGGGACACCTATGAAATAGACTATGACAAGACCCTTAATGATCTCATCTATTGTTAAGATCAACTTCCTGAAACTTTATGGACATTGATAATGGTGACACTGGAAATACAGAAAAAAAGCATTCTCTTCCCAATGGAAAGGGATCGGCCATAGTCAACTCGGTTGAACAAATGGTAAAGAGAAAAAAAGCTAAGTCTGTAATAGGCCTGTGTACCATTATCAAAGGGTCCATATGTTTATATTGCCAAAGTAAGGGTCATTAGTTGCGAAGCTGCCTAATTTACCTAAGGATGTTAAAGTCAATAAGATTGACTCTACTTCAGGTAAAAGTCCACAAATCTAACTCTGTTAAGTTTCTATTCTGAGATTCTTGATACATGTTGTGACTGGGTCACATGGTAATGTTTTAAGAATCAAAGAAAAGTAAAGGAACTTAAAGTAAGAATATGCTGAATCTGATCGCATAGATGGATTTCTATTGCACAGTTTGAAAATCGGATTCTTGAGCTACTTCTTAGGAGTTATGAGATATTGCTAAGGAATAGATAACAACAAGTTTTCATATGGATTGTAAGGATAAGTTTTTCCGCATAGTTTTAAAATAAAAGAAAAGTTTGATTTTATTTATTTTAAAAATATCCTTACAATGGCATTTGAGGAAAAATTGTTGCTTATATGATTCCAATAATAGCAAGAGTGGAAGTATGAAATTGATTCTTTCATTTGTGGTAATGTCTAAATTTATCAAATAAAGGAAACATTCTCATCACCCAAGTCTCAATTGGACCGGGACTTGGAATCATGCAAGTTGTATAGCATGATGAATGAGAACTTTCAAGTATTGGAAAAATTAAGACTAATTACTTGTTCACATGGATGTGTGAGTCAAGTAATGGACTAAGGGATCGAGTACATAGTCATGTGCACTGATTAAGTCCACCACAAAAGATGTAAGGCTATTCGTCATAGTTTACTAAAGCTCAGTAAATATGATTATACTTATAAGCTTAAGTGTAACTCTGAGACATTGGAAAAGGTTCCAATGCATGGCAGAGCGGATAAGAAGAATCAAGTTAGGCAGAAGGATAAAAGTTTCTCAAATCTGAAAAGATGGGAGAGTACTTTAGTATCAGCTTTGTGATCATCTTAATGATTAAGAAACCATATCAAAAATTTGTTCTCTAAGGAAGTCTTAGTGCATTCTTATGACTAAGAAGAAGGGATCTTGAATTGTTGAAATGGGTAAATCAAGAAGATAAGTCATACTTCGTTCCAATACAAGTCTTAGAGTCATACTCCAAGATTGTAACTTGAGTGACATGTCTTTAAGAAGGTTTAAAACACTTATCAAATGTAAGAGTAAAAGTTTTCTACTCTTGTACATTTGAAATTGGTAAGTTGTGATGTTTTGGATAAAACAAAGACCAACTAAGGCCAATTGTGTGAAGTGTTTGTCTTGATTAGAATCCACACTACCTCTTGGATGTTTGACAAGGGAGTCTTATAGGTCAAGAGGATAGTGGGAGTCTTAAAGGTCTTGAAATTCTCAAGAACTAATCAAGAATGAAACCTGAAGTTCTTCACTAGCACACGACTTAAGGTCTATAACCTATCGTGTTGACATATTCTGTGCCCATTCTAGTTAAAGTTGGCTTTGCATATGAGTTCTTAGAGTTCTCAATGTGTTGCACAAAAACTTGGAAGCAATGGTAGGCCCTTGAGCTACCAGGTGGCAA